AATAATTCACAAATTTTTGCAATTCTTGCTTAAACAGTTTCACACACATCTCATCTTTAACTCATAATGTATAAAAAAGTCGAATAAAACTTTTTTTTTTCAAATACTTCGTTTACCTCCTATTAGGCTTCACAATATCTCTTAGTAAGGTTTCTTCGTCTAAATAACTCTGATTTTTGAAGCGTTTCTCAAAAAAATAAGTTTTTAGTAAACTCAGTTATTCGTCTCTGAATGTTAACCATTAAGAAGTTTAACACTGCACTCAGTTTTCTTCTTTTTCACAAATTTGTTTGATAAAAACTATTTTACTTCACTTGACTTTGAAGAACAAAGTAACGTTGTCTCATTTTACCTAAAGGGGCTTTGCGAGAAGCGAAGCAACTGTTGCAGAAGAAAAAAGTTTGGTTTTGGTGCAGTAAGCTATCTTAATTAATTTCTATTTTGGAATTTACAAAATTTTTTGGAGTATGTCCTCAAAACTCATAAAACTCACTAAAAAAAATAATTTTTTTTATTTTATTGCAGCAAATATAGAAATGCTTGTCCTGAGATGTCTTCGAATTTTGTAAACTGCTTTTTCTTTATTAGAGTAAAGTTAGAGACGCTTACTATACTTTATCAACCTAAATTTTAATGTCATATATAATGCTGTTCGTTCACATTGATAGAACTGTTTTCCAGCAAAATAAAAAAACAACTGAAGTTTTATTTCTTCTAAAATAGTAGGACAAGAGGAAAGCAGAATTGCATCTTAATTTTTTAATTCACTATTGGAAATTTTGATTATATTACTATAAAAGGAACCAAAGTTGTATCTCATTCAGGTCATCGTTGAACGAAATAACGCCTATTGCTTTACGCTAACTTATCTTCAACTTTTCTCTGTTCACTTTAGACCTTGACTCGTGCTATCCAAAACACATTCTGTCAAGATTTACAAGATTCAAAATGCAGTTCTGTGGTACGGCCCGCAACCAAAAAGCTGAAGTTATTGGAATGAATCAAGATAATAGACAAAATGCTGTGTTATTCATTGGAAATAGAGCGAATGACGTTGCAATTATTCTGGTCAGCAACCCAAAAACTAATGTTTAGGTTTGAAAATTTTATTCCAACCTGTTCAACGTTTTAGGCAGCTATTGACGGGGTTGAGACTTGCGGAAGAGAGGGTCTGCAAACCGCAGCGGCCAGTGATTTCAATAGAGGAAAGTTTCAGTTCCGCCAAAAATTAGAACAGCAATGTAGTATTGTATACCAACAATACTACATTGTTGCTCCAATGCCATATCAAGAAGTGGTGGACGCACAGGCGGATGGTTAATGCTTGGAAATTTGTGTTGCACAGTAAGTTTCACTTTTTACTCAAAATTTCGTATAGACTAAATTTCCTTACTGTATTATAATGTGCTTTACTAACAACGTCTCTAAAGAATGTTCTTGAAATTAATAAATTTGCCGCTTTGCTTCATATCACGTTCAATCATATTTTTATTTGAGGGTGATATCTGTGGAATGAGCGCTATAATGTTCACACCTCCAATCTTCTGGTTCGCTTGTGTTATAATTCCTGTCACGATGTTGATTATCGAGCTCTGCTTGAAACTCTATATGTTTTTTAAATCTTGCGAAATTATTTGACTCAGTGGTGTTTTTCTCGAGTTTTCTAAATAATTACGCAATTTAGAACAGCAGTGTAGTATTGTATACCAACAATACTACACTTGTTCTAATGCCATATCAAGAAGTGGTGGACGCACAGGCGGATGGTTAATGCTTGGAAATTTGTGTTGCACAGTAAGTTTCACTTTTTACTCAAAATTTCGTATAGACTAAATTTCCTTACTGTATTATAATGTGCTTTACTAACAACGTCTCTAAAGAATGTTCTTGAAATTAATAAATTTGCCGCTTTGCTTCATATCACGTTCAATCATATTTTTATTTGAGGGTGATATGTGTGGAACGAGCGCTATAATGTTCACATCTCCAATCTTCTGGTTCGCTTGTGTTATAATTCCTGTCACGATGTTGATTATCGAGCTCTGCTTGAAACTCTATATGTTTTTTAAATCTTGCGAAATTATTTGACTCAGTGGTGTTTTTCTCGAGTTTTCTAAATAATTACGCAATGCAGTGGACAAAGAACTTATGGTTTTTGGATTTGTGCTTTTGGACATATAAGATAGTGATCAACCTTTGTTGGTGTAATTTAGCTGCATATGCTTCTTCATATTCAAATTACAGCGTATGAGCAGTTATGTCAGCGTCATGTAAAAGCTGTTTGAATGTCTTGCTTCAAATTTTTAAGTATACACATGTGCTGTATAAAATTATGGCATATCCAGATTGAATTGACATTTACTGTGACATTAGGCTTGTGTACAAGAGGAAGAAAAGTAAGGAGAACCAGAGAAAGATGAGAAAATTTTCACTAGTGTTGCGGGCTTGTAAACTGTCTTTCTGTAGATCTATTAGCAGATTCTAATCTTTAAACCAGTGCTTGAAACATTAAACAGTCATAAATCAAAAAGCAAGTTTTCTTCTTTTTTTTTTTTGCTTACTTTACTAGAAAAAACTTTAAGCTAAATAGTGAAACCAAAAACGACGACCAAATTTGGCAACCGCCTTAAACGGTTTCATGAACATAGAAGCATAAACGAAGTAAATAAGTATTTAAAATATAGTAAATTTTTTTTTGGTAGGACTTGAGAAGAAGAAATAAATTAATGACCGCAACTGAAAGATGGATCAATAGATGAAGATTTAAATAACGATAACCAGTGTTACAGATGCTACAACAGTTAAAAATTGGTGGAAATATTTTACTTTGCATGTTTTCAATCTTAAATGCTGCGAGAACAGCACAGCAAAAAGCTGTCAAAAGTTATACAGATAACAAGATGCTGAACAAAGTATAGAATACTTGGTGACAGTATTTTAAGTAGGACATTGGAACATCACGATTCTACAAACAGTGAGCATCTGAAAGTGATCAGCTAGCTGCCAATCCAGTTTATTTGCAAATTCTATAGCCAAAGTATTTTAAAAGCTTAAAAAACAAACTAAACCATAAAAATTAGAATTTTTGCAAATTTTAACCTCAAACACGTTATAAATATGTAAGGTCTATTGCTGAAAAAAAGTGAGTTTAGAATGGTTCAACATACAAAAACCTAAAATTTAGTTGGCCTATTTCACATAGCTTTCCACAGCTTATTTCTTAGTATAAAATACATTTATGCATCACTGGTCAACTCTTACCAGCTAAAAAACTTTAAATGGCTTTTGTTCTTGAAGAATCTTCTCTTTGCTATACGAGCGGTCTCTGAGAACTTTGGAGGCTGCTTTTTTTAGTTAGCAGAATAATATAACGTTAGGTGGATAAATAGTTTTGGTGTATTTTTGAAAAAATCATGAATCGAAAACTGAAATTAAGAACCTAAGAGAATACTTCGTGAATTATCATTTAGAAACAGTTTCAAACACAGAAAAAAAAGTGAACACAGATTTTCTGGAGTATTGGCTTCTTCGGTAGGCATCTCTGCTCTATAGTTCTAATAAATCAAGTCATGTTTTCTCAATGATTGTTTTTATTTTCAAAGATGAAACGAAAATATTACTGTTTATTTAATTTTTGAAAGCATAAACTACTCAAAAAATACAATTTTTTTATCGTTTCTTATAGTTTCGCTAATCTTATTTAAGCTTTCAACGTTTGTTAACTTTAGCTGGAAGATTTGTATCGGACTAATAGCTGCCACCATGTATAATTCTACTGCATTAGTAACTCCTGAAAATAAGCGAAAACAAGTGGTGTAATTAAAACATAGTATATTCTTAACTATTTATATCTCATTAAAAATACTGCTTAAAAAGTCAGCTTTAATATTGTAAAGCTAACTGACTTAATGGTTTTCTGCAATTCAAACCTAGATTTGCCTTTCAAGTACATACTATTTTTTAAAAATAGACTAAAGTGAAAAAAATATTTCTTTTGAAAATTTGACTTTGAAATCAACAAGTCTCACTAGTTGTCAAATTACAGCACAGATAATAATGACTTTAAGTTGACTAACATTAATAAACTTTTTTGCAACATGAATAAACTGAAAGTCAACTACAGACTTTATGTTAAAAACCCTACAAAACAGTTTATTATTCAGTTTTCGAAAGTGTCTGATGCTGTGATGTTGCTGTAGTGCGCATACTCTGTTCTGCAGATCATTATATTTGGCTTAAGAAAAACGTGAGTATTAACCTTCAGTGAGTATATCTGACCAATGTCTATTAGAGGCCTGTAAAAGAGCTCTCTTATTGCTTTTAACAGTCAGCCCTTATTCTTGTTTTTTTTTCTTAGTTCTTCTGTTACTGTCTTCTTGTTTATCAATAAACCCTTTTCACGACTTTGGCTAATACATCACGCGGATCATAACAACTGAGAAGAAACTAGAAAGTAAATTTCAAGATTATTATTAATTGCAAACTCACGTATCAACGCTTCAGTATAAATTTTGATTTGGT